GTGAACATGTCAATATAAAAACTTACGGTGTCTGGCCAACCTGTAAGCAGTTGTCAATGAAACAGTAACGGAGCGTGGTTTTGATACACCACCAGGAGGCGACACCTTCACACTTATGCATACATACATAGTCGGGATACTCAGACAAGGCCGCGTGCTAGACAACTGAGGAATCGGCATTCGTATCTTGGCATGAGCGAGAAATTCTTCTCGTCCCCACAGCGTTCGGATTGGCGCTGCAACTCACCTACCCCTTTATCACGTGGTTAGAGTTGCGACAGAGCTGATCCCTAGTCCGGGGAGCCTACAGACGCTTATGTTAAGTTCCATAGTTCCAGATTAGTTCTGCTGGGAACAGGCCACAAAGCCTAACACGGGAAAAGAAGAAGAGGCATGTGAGATACGAGTACAGCACAATCAGAAATGAAATTTGTCATACATTCACACTTACACGAAAAGGCTGACACTTTCATTTCCATAGGCCTATAATGACAAGTTCTGTCATTTACAAGATGTTTAATTTTCATCATATGTTTCAGTTATGACAGTAATGTCAATAAGAAGAATAGATTGATAACTGTGCTTAATTTCCAATAGTAATTTGCTGATTTCAATTTACTTTCAACTGTGATGAAGCTGACCGCTCACTTCCAGCTAGTGCCGAGGCCAAGAAAATGTGGATTTATACATCCACTCCCCTATACGTCTTCATGGCGCACTGCTTAGTTAGTTAAGCACACGTAAAATTTGTCATGTATTAAGTACAGAAACCCACACGAGACAGGTATCTTCTTGCTTGCTAATTCTTCGATCCTGACGATGTGGGTAATATGTTTATTTGAAACGTCTGCTGAGTTTTAACTGACTACACGATGTTACAGTCGAAAATATTTCTTCTTATAAATAAAAAAAGTAAACTCAAATCCATGAAAACCAAGAAACCCACCTTACAAATATCCGGTTTTTTTTCCTTTGGCACTACAGCCCCAGTGGGCCTAGGCCTACCTCCATGAACTTCTCCGTTCACTTCGGTTTTTCTAGATCTTACACATTCGGTAGGACTCCTTGGGCGGGTGATCAGCTCGTCGCAAGGCCTCTACCTGTAGATAAACACAGAAAAACGCACACAAACATCCATGCCCTGAGTGGGATTCGAACCCATGATCCCGGCTTCCGAGCGAGCGAAGACAGTACATGCCTTAGACGCTCGGCTACCGTGACCGGCCCAAATATCCGTTGCTTGTCAGAATATTTAGTCGTGTGGCTAGACTGCTTGGCAGTCACCAGAGGGAAGGAAGCCCAGCTCAGCCTACATCAAGAACAATTAATTTTGGGAGACATGTTTACTAATGACGAGATGGCATCGGATGCGAAGTGAAATGGAGCTACGGTGGGTGTAAGATAAAAATTATGCGGAGGCCAGGATATGAAGCTTAATTGGCCACACATTTTACGGAATACCAAATGAGAAACACTGAAGGGACAGACGTATAAAGAAAATCCCCAGGAAAACCAGGCAAGGGAACGAAACACATCGGCCATAAAAATTACAGCTGTAATTAACGAAGTTGATGAAAAATAACTTCATACCGAATACACCGAGAAATATAATTTTCAGAACAAAAAATGTGCATAACATGTAGAGCTATAGGAGGATACCAACGTTTCGGAGGATAATGCTGCCTTCTTACTCATGGTCAACCCTGAAGATGGAGGTAGCACTTCCCATCGAAATCGTGGTAGCCTACTACGGGACTATATGAAGGCACAACGTAGAAGACCCATCTGAATAACCACCTCCGTGAAAACCTTAAATGCTAAAAATGATAAATCTATCTTAAAATCTTGTAAGTTTTGAGGTTCTCACGGCGATTACNTACACGGCGCCTAAACCCAGAAGACGACTTTCTTCGTATCTTAAAATCTTGTTTGGAAAAATATACTTATATAAATATATTTAGCTGAAATATTATTTACTTATATATTATACATAAATTTATCTCTAAATATTACTATCCTTTTAATCAGTGCGTAAAGAGGAAACACAAAAGGATAATGAAGATATGTTCCGGCAGTATTTTCAATTTTCGCACTAACTTCGCCGAAAAGCAGCGGTCGCTCAGTCGGTATCGTTCGCTTGCGGACTAAAACCACGGAGTTTGTTTTTTATACATAGACTAACTTGCGAATAGTTACGGCCACTGTAGATGACTGAGAACCGAAAGTAGGCGATTGATTGAAACAGGACTGCAGAACACTTACACATTTGACTTTTTATCTAAATTGGCATCGTGCTATGTCAAGTACACACCGGTCCACCGGGTTCTACTAATTCTCGTCTTCTCTTTCCCATCACACTCTCATTTCCAGTACGGGGCGGACACTACTTGTTAATAAAAAGAAAGCAGCCAATGCCCCATCAAATCAGATTTCTTTTATTGCCAGTGGGGTTGGACTAAGTCCCTTGTACTGCGGCCACTTCTGGCCTATTGTACCAGCCCCAGATGATAGGTCAGGGTGATTGTGGAGCAATTGGTGGAATGAAGATTGGTAGGGGAAACCGAAGTACTCGGAGAAAACCTGCCCCAGCGCCACTTTGTCCACCACAAATCCCACTTGCCCAGACTCGGGATCTAACCCGGGCCGCCGCGGTGGGAAGCCAGCGACTAACCGCTTGAGCTATGGCGCGGCCTAGAAATAAGATACTTCCTTCGCTGATACCACTCTGCCAGCAAAGCATGTTTTGGTCGTTTTGCTGACTGGAGTTCATACAGACAACACACACCACTCACCTCCCCACCTCTTTCCAATATAGGACTATGGTTAGGATAATCTTTATCTAAAACTCTGTCATGTCTGCTTTACCTTATCTCTCTCTGTCTTTCACTCAACGATCTTGCGTCTCACCGGTGTTCTTCATGACAGAAACAAAGCAAAATATTCCGAAGGATATTATTTCAGGAGAGGCATGAAATACAAACTGGATAGGTGACTGTTGGTAGGTCAAGTTGTCGAGAATTGACTTATTGATACGCATATACGTACAGAGTGCCAGTAACTGTGACTACACGATCTAAGGAAGGAAATGTCTTTGCCCACTCAAACACTGGGATCGTAGGTTCGAATCCAACTCGAGTTATGGATGTCTGCATTTATTCTGTGCTTCTGTTGTCCTGTATAACAGCGGCCTTGCGATGGGGTGATCTCCAGTCCAAGTAGTCCTACCGATTGTCTAAAAGATTAAGAAACTGAAGTAAAACGAAGCATTTCACAAATGCTCTATGTTTCAGAGGGAGTAACATAAAATGTGAATGAATGAATAAATATACAGAGTGAACTAAGAGTCAGCTAACCTGAAATATTCTCTCCTATTAACGGGAATGTTCCAATTTAAATGTGCCAGTTAATTTACAGAACGGTTTCAGAGCATTGTGGGTTGTGCTATGAACATGGAGATTCTCATTTTGAAAAAAAGTAAATTCAGTAAGTAATAAGGAAATTTCTAACGTATTTCAGTGTACGTTTTACCAAACGGTTAACTGAATTTAAGCCACTCTGTATTTAAATCAGATCTCTACTTCAGATAGTGCGTTCGCTGTATCATTATCTCATAAGGGGAAGATCAGCATTTATATGATTTAACTAATATTTAGCCAATATTCAGAAGAAATGGCCAATTTAACCAACTAACTTCCTAAAAAAAAGTCCTTATTGCGAAGCTGAGTGTCGCCGTTTAGATAAAATATCCCCGTCTCTTGCGAAAAGCAAAGAGACAGTATCATGTGTAAATGGGCCTACAGTTGAGCCATACTCTTAGTCAAATTGTCCAGTACAGATCGTCAAAAACCCATTTTAAGACCCATTATAATATTATGCTTTCATCAATGTCTAGGTTTCCCATATGATCTTTTCTTTCAGATTTCCCTACTAAAATTCTGTGTATATTTTTCTTCTCCACCATGCTTGGTAGATGTCCCACCCATTTCATACTCCAAGCATTGACCATATTAATGATATTAAGTGAACTATTACATCGCCAAAAAGAAACTGATAACAAAAACACTACTTGTAAAATAGAATATATATCCAGCCCTGATAAGATGCATTAACGTAATGTGGCCGACTAGAATTCAGGCGAACCTATTGAGGTATCTTTCTGGGCATGCGCGACATGTGATGCCGCAACAAACGCAGGATTAGTTAACTTTTTCTTCCCTTTACCGCTAGAGTCCCAATTTTGGCCTTGGCCTACATCCATGAAATTCTCCGTTTCAGTTCGGTTTGCTAGATCTTAGACATTCGGTAGGACTCCTTGGGCGGGTGATCAGCTCGTCGCAAGGCCTCTGCCTGTACACAAACACAAACACAAACACAAACACAAACACTAAACATCCATGCCCTGATTGGGATTCGAACCCATGAGGCTTCCAAGCGAGCGAAGACAGTGCATGCCTTAGACCGCTCGGCTACCGTGACCGGCCACTTAACGAACATTGCATCATAATTTATAGCAATTTCTTTCGTTTTCTCTGTGTCTTCAGTAACAGTGCCACATCGGTACACATATCCATTCTGATTGTAAATTAAAACGACTACACGGCGTTTCATAGGGCGGCCGCACACCAACTGCATCAAGACAAGCATCAAGACATGAGACAAAAGACACAGTCTTGCTACATTCGTGATTCGTCAGCATGAAGCTGACGTCAGCATCATGACTCAGACCGGTATGCGGCGGTTTTCATAATCTCATTCATTTCAAATGTGCTCCTTTCTTTGCGTCATGTTGCAGACATCATGTATTGACTGTTGCATGTCTTGACGCATGCCGGTGTGCGACCTACCATACACTTCGAGATTTATAAATTAGCCTTACTGCCGAAACATAATGAGCATTAAATGAATGTGACCCGCGAGCCACAGTTTGTAGATCCTGCCGTGGAGTGACATAACCAACAAAAGACGAATTCACCTAATATTTAATTAAAACAATCCCTTACCTTTTACTGCTTGCTTCAGTGTCACTCAACGAGGCTTTGCAATACCAGAATGTTAAGAGAACACTTCAGATTGCAGACTAACGCAGAGGCGGGATTTAGGTTTCGGGTGACAATCACTACACTCAGTTCTAACACTGTGGGAACTGTCGTTTGTATCATTACGAATGTATATTACGTATGATTCGCGCCATTTCAAGCACCTTACCTACTGTAACACACGTCTAATAACAAACGAAATGGACACAAATTCACAACCCGGTCTTACCGAACACGCGAACTGGAGCAACTGCTCATTTCTTTCTAGCTATGACTTATGGGTAATCAGAGAGACAGGTAGAGGGAGGAAGGTTTGGCTGTTCGATTTGTCACACTGCTACGCTGATAAAGCTAGCTTGTTACTCTCTATACGGGTGAGGCAAGTGGAGAAGTTAAATGAGGTTATCACCTTCGGAGGGGGGTTATGGAAATCTTCATATACTTTATTTGTGAAAATGGAAATATTGACAGATGATCGCATTTGTTTCTGCTGTCAAGGAGAGTTATTGTCGTCTTCGCCCGCTGTGGAGCCATAGATAAAAAAAATAATTCGTGGTTTAATCCTGCAACAAACAACAAAGGCCATATAACACGTATGTGTTACTTGCAGCCTTACGTATGCTGTACTTCAGCACTATCTTCTTGGTTTACTGATCATACTTAGCGTGATATGGAAAATGATGTGAACAGAAAAATTGAAAGGATGTGAAACTAAACAATAGTGGTCCATTTTAGGGTTCCGTTGTTTATATTTAGTAGGACGGATAGAGAAAATCCATATAAAGCCTAGAGATTGAGAAGGAGACGACTTCGACATGAATAACAGCAAGATAGAATAGATATATTTCAACTATAGAGTTCATATGGGCTTGAACTAAACATATTTATCGATTATCGATTTAAAATTCTTAATATTAATTAATATCTGACTAAGGAAGTGCTTTGACCGAGCTATAACATAATCGTGATGTCAAGAATGCAGAGTGGACTAGAATGTAGTTTCCCAGAATAAGGAATCTGAAAATGAGGACACACGGCAGCGTAGTAGATTGAGGAACTATGCTACAAGCCGGGCTCGATTCCCGATGAAGTCACTGCGTTTTCCAATTGACATAATCGTTCCAGCCACACTATGACCCTGGGGTCCACTCAGCCCCTAACAGAAATGAGTACTAGGAATCTTCTTGGTGGGTAAAGGGCGGCCGGCGCATAAGGATGAAAACCTTACTGCCATCTGTGAGTCGATTGTCTAGAAAATGTGGGAGCCTCGACGTCTCACAAACCTATGGTCCTTTTACTGGGATAGTTTTACATTTTGTTAGCAAAGTAATCTGAAAATGAGTGCTACATATGCCACACATCTTCACCGTGAGTGCCACTTGTGTGAGACATCCTCACCATGAGTTTCCCATATATTCCCACTTCCCATATGTCCTTCCAACTAACCTTACATATGCCACAAATCATCATGAGTACTAAAAGTGCCGCACATCTCATTCCTCTTGGCTTAATAACCCTTTCTCTACCACTCCATAGTCGGGTATGGAGCACGTTCAGTATCATGTAAAATCCGTACCAGGAGTCCTTTTCACTCGGATAAAGTTAAGGGACAGAGTTTTATCCGCTCTCCCATATATGTATAGTAATGATGCACACTGCAAACATTAGATGACGGGTAAGAATAATGACGCTCCCTATATTGTCATTTTCTCCATTCTTTTTCTTCCTCTTTCTTACATTCTCAGTAATTTGTTTACAAATTCCTTATTATATTTTTCTCTTAGGGCTCAAGCTTAAGTGTTGTGCAAATATAAATAACTTGAGATTTGAGGTTTCCACGTCCATGAATGATGCTACGATATTCTAATCCAAAATTAAAAAATAAAGCTAAACATTTCATTACAGTTGAGTGAATATTTATACTCAATTTTTCAAAATATGACAAATAAAAATTTTGAAGTTAAAATGGAAGAAGAGAATGTAATATAAATATATTCGTATGATTTATGTGTTTACTGTATGTATTCTCTCTGGGTTAAATCTAGAAAAATAGAGAGCTAAGAATAAAAGAAACTCACAATGAATTAAATAAAATCTGTACTAAAATTGGGTCCATTCCTCCTAAAGAACGAATTTTATTGTGCAGAATCCTCATTCAGAAGCTGATATCCCATCAACGTGTTGCGAATTTTAACGTATTTTATATATTCGTAAAACAAAATCTCTTGCCGTGGTCACAACACTCCGCCAATGGACCCTACCCTGTGCCACTCGAGTCCAGTCAGCACCCTTACTGCCTATATCTCTAAGATCTACATTTCCACCTTCTCCCTATCTGACCCTAAGACTCCGAAGCGATCTCTTCCATCATAGAATATTAATGTCGTCCCATCAATACTTGCGAGTCACATCAATGTGGCTGGTGACAAGACTAACAGGCGGATAGAGGTCTGGTTAGTCGCCTCTCTCATGAAACCAAATTTACATACGAAAGCAAGCAGCTTTTGTATTGGGAGCTACCCACTTTTAAACAAGTAAGCAGGTTTCTTGAAGGGTTAGAGTTATTGTATAAGGGATGCTATGAGACGCTTTCGAGATGTTACAGAACAATACCTAAACTCATACAAACAAGTTTTTCTTTTTTCGTTTCTTCCCTATGCTTCTATTATTCTTTACGATCATAATTTGCATTTGTTTCGCTTTACTTTTTTTATTTATAATATTACTTGTTCGATCATACAGGATGTGGTGCATATTTATTGGGTAAAAATAATGACAGTAAAAAATGTCTAGTGCTTTTCTATTGTCAGTCATACTTTGCATTCTTAATCCGAGAAAATCACCCATAGGTTGCCGATATGGCGACTTGAACGTTGTAACATCGGAGCTGTTCTTAAACTTCTCCTTTCATGAGGGGCAGATCAAAAGTGCCAACGGTTCTACAAAGGGAAATCCCTGAACTGCATGTGTGTAAAAACATGTTACAGTCTGTATTAAAATCTTAAAAATTATCTCATACCACAACTTTAAAATTTAATATAATTAAAATTTATAATCACAATTTAGATTGTCGGATTTCTTTCATCATCTTCAAGAGTGTTCATTAATATAAATCAGGTTTCCAAATGAATAGTTCTATCTTCTGCTATGCATAACTTCGAACTTCGTGTAGTCCAGTGAAATTCAATCGGAATTCCAAAGGATCTCCTCACTCCCACTTTCAGGGTCAGACAGCAAACCAAGCAAGAATCCAGCATGCTACTTGCCTCAGGCTTCATGATTGCTTCTCTCCAGGCTAATTGGTAGGCATTGAAGAGGGAGGTGATGTATTCCTCCGAAACGTCGGTTAACTTTAATCGGGCTACGCGGCAGTATGTCCCAGAAGATAGAACTCTTCATAGCCAATGTTGTGAGCATCTCAGACCCTACACATTTTTCGAATTTAATTGTAATATACAGTTTCAAAATTTATTATTTTTACCTATATACGAATAATTCCCTTATTTCGTATTTTCAGCCAAGAACTGCAAGTATACAAATGATCTGTTTACATTGACGTCTTGTATCTATGACACATCTTGTTTCGATCCCTAATGGGTCATCATCAAATGATAATTTCGTGTATATGGGTTCATATTGTGAGGTTGTCTTTGTTCTTGATATTGCCTTGGTACAAGGTCTTCAGAGTGAAAGTTAAAATTAAATAATAAAAATACGATTTTAACATCAAAATAAAATCTAAAATGGTGGTGTATGAGAGCAAATTATTGCTTGCATTCTAATTCTTGTTAGGGAATGTGGCTTCTTGTATGGAGTAGTTACACTTTGGAACTTGTTATTTGTAGTGTTCCGCCTGGTTTGTTGGTGTAGCCTGAACTTTGTGTTAGTACCTATATACTATATAAACTCCAAACTGATTAATTAATATTTATATTTACTTCTTCATATTTTCTTTTGTCATCATGAGCCTGATATTTATAATCATCATAAGAAATGTATTTGGCCGATCTTTCAAAGCACCATATTTAGACCTCGTTGTTCAGGACTGATAACGCATTTCACAAATATATTTAGCCGGGCGTAGGTACATGTTTAGCCGGTCACGGTAGCCGAGCGGTCTAAGGCATGCACTGTCTTCACTCGCTCGGAAGCCGAGATCGTGGGGTCGAATCCCACTCACGGCATGGATGTTTGTGTGCGTTTTTCTGTGTTTGTCTACAGGTAGAGGCCTTGCGACGAACTGATCACTCGCCCAAGGAATCCTACCGTATGTGTAAGATCTAGAAAAACCGAAGTGAACGGAATTCATGGAGGTAGGCCTAGGCCCACTGGGGCTGTAATGCCAAGGGGGGGATAAAAGGTACATGTTTACTGATAAAATTTCTGGACTGCATGTATGCAGCTTTAGAAACGTTTTTAATTCAACAGGTTTTTAGGAATTCTGGCTGAAATTACCGAATTGTATAGTGTCAACAGTAAAGAAACAAAATATCCCCATGTCTCGAATTCACATGTGTAAAGCTCAAATAAATATGTAATTAATTACAGACTGTTTTATAGCAGATGTAAATGTGGTTATTTCTTGAAATGGTGTTAAATACTAGCATCAGTGTCCCTAGTATCATCAGAACCCACCAACAACACGTCACTTTATTTAAAACATGTCATGTTTTCAGTATGTTAACTTCTTTCTTTCAATCCAAATTCGAAAGCTGCGGTAAGAATACCAATATTATTCTCTACTGTTCTGGGTTCAGATCTCAGTCTGAGGTTTACTTTAATTTTCCTTGGCTTCTTCTCATCACACAACTGGCATTGCATTGTACAGTTCTGTGCAGTCTATCTGCACTGTTGGCTGACTGGCTCCCTTCTAGACACCAATGAAAGAAGAGAAACTCAAGAACATGTTTGGAAAATGTGTACACCGAACTGTAGACCTGTCTATAGAGTTTTGTTTCCGAAGGCAATCATCGAAGATCAGATACAGCAGAACCGCTCCGCGAGGAAACTACTTTACCGCAGAGTTAACACTCTTTGTTTAAGGACATCTAGCTCGTGCTAATTGTCCTCTTCTAAGCCGAAACATGGTTCATGCGCGAGACTGTACATCACCTCATATAAGTGATGTGCTAGTACAAAGAGTTACAGACAGCATCGCTAGATACACAATCATATTACCGTCTTATAAATACATTCATTCAGTTGAATGAAGGTAGGAGTCCTAAGA